TAAGAAAGAAATATACCAAAATGTGAAATAGCACTTAATTCAGTTTGGTGGGATTACAAGTGTTTCAATTTTTTTTCCATTTTTACTATAATATGGGTTCTTACAATGGATGTAAATCATTTTTACAACCTGAACACAAATACAGAACTAGGAAAACAGGCAGAAGCCAGCTGAGCCTTACATAACTGGCAACTGAGCACGAAGCTGGGGGAGGTGGAGCCCCTCGACCGGCCGTCCTGGAGAAGTATTTGTGCTCTTCCCTCCTGCGTCTCAACCTCAGGGCCAGGAGCACACAGGAAATTAAACCCAAGTCACGAATACAGAACTGCTTTTCTTCGGCACTGCCATCTGACCTCTTCTATCGAACGTCCCCCAGCATCTGGAGTTGATCAAAGTTACATAATCCGGGAAGTGGCCTGGAAAACACCTGGGGTAGGCAGAAGGCAGATGCCCGCCCAGAGGGGGCTGGGCTGCAGCCCGGCTGAGGAGGGACGGTCCCCACCAGGCAGGCAGATGCGCAAGATCGTGCGAGGGGATGAGGCCCTCACCGGGAAAGAAAGGCCTCACGCTGCTTCTTGACTCAGCGGGCGGTGGGCCAGCCGAGCAGCCTCTGTGTCCCTCCCGGCTCTCTCGCTCTGCTCCACACACGAAGGCCAAAGCCCAAAGGGAAGGATTGCTCATGCATGCCTCTGGCTCGAGACGCTGAAGCGAGCCACAGCCCTGCGCCAAAGCCTTCCAGTCAATTCCCAGTCCGGGCTGATGTCAAAATTGACTCACGATGTATAAATTCCAAGTGACTTGCTTCATCTCATAGTGAACTGTGCTCGTCAAGCTTAAAATCGAGCACATCTCACAGGGCCAGCGCTGCAGGATGTGCTCAGATTGTTTTGCTCAAGACCTGAGCTCTCTGCTGGGCTTTCTGTCAGGAAGTCAAAACCCAAAAGAAGTCCAAAGGCTTCATTCAAAAAAGATGCTCGGAACCGTGCCCCTCCCAGGGCAGTGCTGGCTGTTCAGTCTCGACATAAATTTTAGCAGCTGTCCTTAT